CATATTTGTATGCTGAAAAAATTTTAATTAAAAAATACGCGTATTAATTGCGTAACAGATCAGCACTATATACACGAAAAATATTATTTATTCTACTTATCTCGGAGTTTCATTTAAATAGGTAATATGAATAATCGCAGCATAAATTAAAACAAAATTGTTTTAATTATTTCCTTATTTGAACAAGTTCATTTACGAAAAAATATATTAAAAGGACACATAAAATCTAGTTCAAATCCTGTAAATTACAAAAATGTTAAAAAATTGTTTAAAGCTATTAGCATTGTTGCTAAGAATTGTATATACAACAACCATTACTATTTTTTCTTATCTTATTTTTCTTTTGCTGAAAATTTCTTATACAATTTTCCTTACTTTAATTTTTTTGACTTTTTGATTATTGCTACTTTGATTTTTGCATCTTCAATATTAATATTAAATATAATTCCTATTCCATCTTTCTTGTTGTTCCTGGTCTCATTGTCGGATTTTTCATATTATTCACGAGTACTATCTACAAATCTGAATTCATTTGCTCAGATAATACGACAAAAAGTAGACATTCATCGGAATAAAAATCAATTCAACCTATCTCCATTAAGAATATCTTCAAATTTTGTTTATCAACATTATCTAGAAACAAAGTCTTTTTTAATTCTGAATTTTTGCCTCTTTCTTACTTCAATACTACAATTTCCTCTTTTTTATTTAAAATAAAAAAATTTTTAACTAATTTAAATCTAAAAATCATGAAAAAAACTTTTACCTTGCAATATTCTTAATGCTCTTATTTTATATTATATTTTTTTCCTGTCCTGATATTTATTCAGAACATTTTCTAGAAGATTGAGATTCCCTTTTGTTGCATCAATAATGAAAAAAATATCTTTGTTGTATTTAATGTTCAAATTTAATCTGGTAGAAATTCATAAAGAAATTGAGGAAATTTATTATTTTACGCATAGCGAGGATGTCGATAAATCATTAGTTAATCACCAAAATAAAGAGCAACTAAATGAAGTTATAGATAAACTTCAGATAGAATCCTTAAGCGATCTTAAGAATGATATAAAAAGATTAAGTCTTTCGATAGAACACTTTCATGATTTAGCAATTAATGATCATCAAAAAAATATCTTAGTTGAATCATTTAATTACTATTTGGAGAAAAACCAAATAAATGCTAAAAGCTTGGACATAGATGATCTAAAAATATACAAATTTTTAAACAAGGTTACTAAGCTACATAGTCCATTATGTAATAATAACCTGGAGATAAATGATTTACAATGAAAAAATTTTGCAGATCTATTCAATCATCTTCAGTGCTTCTTTAAAGAATTGCTAAATAAAAATGATCATAATGCTCAACTAAAAGAAATTAGAATGCAAGCATTTAACCTTGAATTATTCTATTTTCATCAAAGGGATAGAATGATTGGTGATGAAACCTTTAGAAAAGCTATTAAGAAGAAAGAGGATTGGCATAAAGTAAACAAATATTGGATAATAATTTTTGCATTTTTTATAAAAAAAACATCAATAGACAAAGGTTAAAAATACTTTGGGGTATTATTTCAAATTATTACAATCATCTTTTCATTTTCAAAAAAAAAAATTTATTCATCACCAAAACTCGAACACTGAAATATTTATTTATATATTGTGAAATCAAATTGACTAAATACTGATGATTGTCTTAATTTTGTAGCTTGAGAGATATGTACTTATTTTCTACTACAATATGTTCCATTTCATCGAACATAAGAAATATTTGTGATCTGTGAAAACTATTATTCAGATTAAGGTTATATTATTTCTTTACTAAATCGTTCATTTTTGCGATAGCGATAAAATATTCTTGATCAAGTGTATATTATTAATATAGGTCTCCAAGAGGAAGTTTTTATAGCTAATCGCAAATTTAGGCAGATTAGTTTTTTACTAACACTATTAACAAGGTTTTTTGACTGTGTATAGAAAATTATTAATTTGGTTCATACTTGTCAAAAAACCTTGTTAAAGTGCTAGTAAGAAACTAAATCAGCCTAAATTTGTGATTTGCTATGAATATTTCCACTTGGCAACTTATTATTAATAATATACACTAGATTGAGAATATTTTGTCGCTATTGCAAAAATGATTTTAGCAAAGTAACTCTTTCAAAATGAGCTTTATAGTAACGATCTGAATATTACAAATCTGGTTAGATGACAAGGCTTAATCACTTTTCCACTTTATCATGGAAATTCTTTGGAGATGACAGGAGCTAATAGTCTTTGATAAGTTCATGAGATTTTTTTGTTAGTCAGAATTGGTGGTGAAATTTTCATAGCAATTTTCTCTCTTATTCAATATTGAACACTAGTTTTAAGCTATAATTTAGTCAAATTTGTTAATTTATTACTTCTTCATTATTTATTTAACAATTCTATTCCAAAAATTTTTTAATAAAAGAATAATTTTGAATTAATAATAAATGTGATATAATAAAATTACAATCTCTATTTTCTTGTATCTAATGAATGGCATAGTTCTTTTTTTTTTTTTAGTAGTTACTGTATTTTCTCCAGATAACTCCGATTTCAAAATCTTGGATATTTTGTATCCACATATTTTTGACGTAGTTAATTATGAATCACTCTATTGGTATTATCTTACTTTCGAAGACAAATGTGAGAATCTGATAAGTCAATACTATCCTGTTTTTTGGAATTAAAATTTATTAATAAAATACTTGCGTCATCATTATCAACTAACAAAGAACATGGCCAGAATAGTCAATGGTTACATGGTCAATGCTAAAGTATATCCTATTCACCAACTTCCCAGATGCACGCTTTCTAGTATTTTAATACAGAAAGGTCCTCTCTAACGCAGACAGGGCCAGTACTACAGGAACATCAATAACTGATAGAGGAGAA